GTGCTTAACTAAAAACAAACAGTCTTCTACTTTGGTGGTCAGAGTACAGATACCACTTTGTGTAGTTTTGTGCTTAACTGCAAGCAAACAGTCTTCTACTTTTGCAAGCCAACATTTGAGGAAGATACTTTTGCACGAATCAGGAAACAAAATGTTCATAAACTTTAGAATATAATATAACCTTTCTGTTTCTACTTACCTCTTTATATTCCTAAGTTGGGTATTGGCTTTTTGTCCTCCGGTGGATCAGCGGTAAGGTTATGAACATAAAATGATAAAATCCAGGTTCGATTTCCCGCAGTGGACAGAATACAGATAGTCTATTGTGTAGCTAAAACATTTGAATTTTTTAGTTCCCATACGCATACCATAAATATAATAACTATTACCCTTTTTTATTCATTCCCATACGAATATCATAAATATAATAACTATTACCCTTTTTTATCCATTCCCATACGCATACCATAAATATAATAACTATTGCCCTTTTTATTCATTCCCATACGAATACCATAAATATAATAACTATTACCCTTTTTATTCAAGGTATTCGTATGGGAAATAAATATAATAACTATTGCCCTTTTTTATTCGTTCCCATACGCATATCATAAATATAATAAATATTACGCTTTTTTATCCTTTTATTTACCTTTTCTTTCGCAATCAAATTAAACACAAAAGCAGTTGTTCATGGAAATCAATTCGTCTTAATCGAAACAATGCCAAACATTTTTAGATTATGAAAGTACTCATTTTTACTGTTATAAACAATTCTAGTGAAAATCAATCTAAAATCTAGAATTGAAATAATGTCCTATTTATTTATTAAGAAAACGAACGGCTGTACTCTACTCTGTTTTTCAACTTTATCAAAGAATCGTATACACCTTTAACAAAGCACTTTATTCTTTAAATGAAACAAATAATGATGTGCGGAATTTCTTTCGTAAGTTTACAAGTACTATAAACGTTTTTACATGTACTATCACGTTTTAGAACAGCAATGGATTACGTAGATGAACTATGTAGATTCAGTAAACTCTGTTTAAAGGAATATAGAAAAAACCTATAGAGCTGTCATGATTTAGCGAAAGTGCTACAAAACCAAAAGAAAGTAGTTTTATAATCCAGATGTTGAATAATAATGCTTCACCAGAGCGACAAAAACGAAGGAACAGTAGACATAGGGACAGCTGTTAAGGCTTAAGTCTATTATCAGTATGTTTTGATCAAAGCAAGCTAACTATTTAGGTCAGAATTAAAAATCAATCTTAGTAAAATATGTAGTAAAATTTTATATATCGGTTTAGCTAAGAGCACGCAATGTGAATAAGCCGAAACGTATAATGATTGTAATGCACTGATTCATTAGTTGAGTACCCTCGCCGTTATCGACATTTTCGGCCGTAATACCAATAATATCTCATGATGTTAGCCAGCTTGAATATATATATATATATATATATAATTGAATATATATATATATATGTGTATATATATATATATATATATTCTGATTGGCTCCATACAATAGTATCTGACATGTGCAGAATGAGTTATTTATTATATTTTCCTAAGGTATCAAATTGTGGAAATAAAATAAGACTGGTGAGTCTGTAATGAATGAAATTGTTCTATGTAATATGTCAAATGTGACCAACTGTAACAAAGGTAAAAATAAACAACAAGTTTTACGATATTATAAAAGAAAACGTTTTCAAGTATTTGAGTAAGATCGACTGCTTATATTGATAACAATGCCCACAGGTTGTGTTAAATGAATACGTCTCGCTCGAGCACAACAAACACACTACAATAAAGTTGCTCTTGATTATTCTGCCTAAAAATTACAATAGTGTAAAATACTTGCTTGGAAAAAAAGATAAGGGAAACGTCGTGGGATACGTTAAAAAGCATTGTTTTCACGAGCTATAAATCTGCCCAGATAATGCGAGACAAGTTAAGAAGCATTGTTTTTCACAAGCTATACATCTGCCCAGATAATGCGAGACAAGTTAAAAAGCATTGTTTTCACAAGCTATAAATCTGCCCAGATAATCCTAGACAAGTTAAACAGAATTGTTTTCACAAGCTATAATCTGAGATAATCCGAAACAAGTTAAACAGAATTGTTTTCACAAGCTATAATCCGAGATAATCCGAAACAAGTTAAAAAGCATTGTTTTCACAAGCTATAATCCAAGATAATCCGAAACAAGTTAAACAGCATTGTTTTCACGAGCTATAATCCAAGATAATCCGAAACAAGTTAAACAGCATTGTTTTCACAAGCTATAATCCAAGATAATCCGAAACAAGTTAACAGGCTTTGCGTGATTCCTTTTTTATTGTTATTTCCTAAGTCTATAATATTAAAGTAAACTGAATAGTGGGCATGGTAGAGAGAGATCTATGAAACTGCAAACCTTTGCACTGTACAATTAAAGGAATAGTGAAATATAATTAACTTAGTGTGTTTTTCATGCATAAATCAATTATCTATTTGCATACCCTTTCATTTTGTCTCAGTTAAAAATTCACTGTATTTTTCTATATGACCATAATCGCAAAGATGTCAGTACCTTATTTATTACATGCACATTTGTTTTCGCAGAAATTGCTTCAATAATTTTTCTTGTATTTAACCTCACCAAAACTTGTCATTTGGTAAAAAAGGGAACGAACTGTTCTTCACCAACTTACCGCATTTTTCTTTACCAAAAAGATTCAACGTGTAAATAACATATCACTTTTATAATACAAGAATACTCAAAGAAGTTAATAAATATGATTATTTTTAGCTCAGTTTTTAATCATTTTCTTACGCACCACACACATACACTAATATTATGCATATATATATATATATCTTATTTTCATTGCACAAACTCTGGTGCTAATATATAAACAATTTACACACACACACACTTATATTCTAATATTATGCATATATATATATATATCTTCTTTTCATTGCACAAACTCTGGTGCTAATATATAAACAATTTACACACACACACACACACTTATATTCTAATATTATGCATGTATATATGTATATTTTATTTTCATTACACCAACTCTGGTGTCAATATATAAACAATTTGCACACACACACTTATATTCTAATATTATGCATATATATGTATATTTTATTTTCATTGCACGAACTCTGGTGCCAACATATAAACACTTTATTTTCATCATTTAAACTCAAATTTCATTTGTCTAGAAAGGATCGTTTCAAAGAACCACTCGTCAGACTCAAATAACATACACTAGTTTATCCCTAGACTGATTCTTTAAGTTTTGAACCTAGAAATATATGTTTGCATATTGAGTTGTGTGGGAAAATATTGTGAACCCAAGCGTTTTGTTTACGAACCCTATAAAGATTTATACCCGTAAAGAATGAGGAAAGATAGTTTGGAGAGACTATTCTTGTTATTTTGGTGTGCAGTTTGGAAAGCACAGTTACGATACCACTGAAAATGGTAATGTCAAAGCTTATTTTAACGGGTTCACCATAATATCTGATAAGAAGGGTAAAAAAGTTGTTATCAAGCGGATATCAGCATGTTGTCACACAGTGAATCCACGAAAACATTATTTCGGTTTGAGAACAGTTTAGCCCAGAAATGTTGTCAAGTTACATTTCCTCCCCGAAGTTATAAACAAAGCTGCTCATTCCCCGCCTCCTGGTTTTATAGCCATTATAAATAAGCGGCCCTTGGCCAAAAAAAAAAAAAAAAAAAACTGATGTGAGGCATGAAATATGAAAGTTGTAAAATTTGTTTATTTTATGAAAAGTGAATGGCCGAATTCTTGCAACAATGAATAACGACGACTAGGCGACCTTGTTGTCTTATACAACTTAACTAACTGGGGCTTTGTCAATGATTATTGTCTGCGATGTTAGCTGCTAGGTCTTTTGTTGTTCTGTCATTGAATAGCTGCATAACTCGGCACAGTAGTCTATGTCACACTGTCCGTGCTCTGATAAGGTTGAGAGATGGATGTTTGCTTCAGATATCACGCCTACTAGACTTAAAAAAACAAAAAAACAATTCAACAAATCGCCGGCCTGCTACCGAAAAACAAAACACAGAGAAACAAACAAACGAGTAAGACACAAAGAAGAAAAACAAACAAACAATTGAATTCCTCATTCCGTTAATATATAATGATTCCTGTTGGACACGAATAGTTTTATATTTCTTGAGAATTTTGAATTCTTATTGATCATCTCTGTTAGATAAGGTAAAAAGTGAGATCAGAGCACCAGTTTGACGTTCAATTCCAACAGTTCGGTAACGAAAGATCAAGTATAGTAGACATATTTAATTTTACGACTGGAAAAATTTGTTTAGTGATTATTTCACTAAGTGATCAATTAATTCAGAAACAAACGGTAAATTTAGACTGAGAAAGAAGAGGGCAGCCAAATAAAAACAACAATTTATATGCATTGTTTGTTTGTTTGTTTTTAATTATGCACAAAGCTACACAAGAGCTATCTGTGCTCTGCCCACCACGGGTATCGAAACCCGGATTCTAGCGTTGTAAGTCCGCAGGCATGCCGCTGTGCCACTGGGGGGCGTTTATATGCACTTGATTATTAAACGTTATTTGTTCTTTTTATTTATTGGATAAATAGGGTTCGGAATATACCGGCGTAGCCTTGAACTGGGCATCATTACACAGTGTCTAATTAGCTGCTTACTTAATTCTATTGGTTTTCTCGAAGTATTGTTGTGTTTTAAAACAGTAAGTAAAACAAACAAGTTTGATGCTTTTACTTTCTCGAAAAAAAATCATTGAATTATCATCCATCTTAAGAAGAAAAAAAAACGTTGCTAATACGCTGATTTCAAGGCATTAAAACACTGGTTTTGTTACAAAAAATGTAAAAATAAATTCATTATTTTATGTTTGTAAGTTGAGTTTATTTCGAAACTCTAAAGTGCTGATGCCTTTTTTTTTCTTTTTGCTAGCAATTAAAAAATCGCTGAGACTGCGAATGCCAGGTGTAAAAAAGAGTGAACAGTCCACTTCAATGATGAGTCCTGAAAACGAGGCTGTTGCTATGGAAATGTTCCCACAAAGTGTCGGCACTGACCAATCAAAGGATACATTAGAGAGAAGGAGAAGTTTGGACATTAGTAAACGAATTGGTGCTTTACCCGTAAGACGTGATAGTGACTCTTTATCACTGACCGGAACTGGTTCCGTGACCCCTCTGACATCATTAGAAGCTGTCCAGAAAATGCACGAGGCTTTAAAGGCTTCTCCATTTGCGGCAGGTGAGTAGAAAACTAAAGGCATATAAACACAGGTTACATGTAGTTGATCTCTAAAATCACTTAGTCTTTGTTGTTGTTTTTATTGCAAAGGAAATGTTCATTTCCTTAACAAATTGCTCATGCACGTAGACAAAAATAACAAGGCTCAAACCATTCGAAGGTGAAATATTTGGTTACTTTCGATAGATTTTACACGGACCAGACAAAAATAACATTTCGTAAACTTTTTGTATTATAAAACTCGTTTGTTGCTGCTGCAATAAGCAAAGGGGGGTACTGTATAAAAATAATTAAAAAAATACAAGTCAAAATACATTTCCATCACAATAAGCCTGTATAAGCTCGTAATTTTTATGTCGTCTAAACCAGAAACATATTTTGAAACATTTCGTGTTCAAACTAAAAGAAATGAATGGAACATAAGATTTAAAGAGAGAACATTGAATGAAAAATTTGGTTGATTTTTAAAATAAGCATAATACTTACCAATAAATGAAATATTACATATTTAGTTCATCTTTTGTATTTGTAACATTACACTTCAGCGAATTCAAACTAGCAGTGATATGATTAAAGTGCCCAGTGGTCACTCCTACAATAAAGGATATCAGTTTTATGGTTCAAACTACTTTTCACAACCACTAATCACCTGACCGGTGAAGTATGATGATTTTATTGTGCAGTTGTTTCTATACATCTTCAGTGCTCATTGGTTACTTCTCTAATGAAATATACAGCTCTTGCGGTTCAAACTAGAGGCCCCGACTGCAATGCCCATTGGTCAAGTCACCGGTGACGTCGTATACAACGTTCATGGCTCAAAATCCTCTTTACGTCTGCAGTGCTTAGTGGTCATCTCTTCGGTACAGTATACAGCTTTTTTTTACTCAAAGTGTTCTTCAGTGCCCATTGGTCACTTCTCCACTGTAAGATACAGCTGTTTGTTCTTCTGTGCCCATTGGTCACTTCTACAGTGAAGTGTAAGGTTTCATTGGTTCAAATTCCTTTTCACAACGACAATTCCCATTGGTCACTTCTACACTGTAAAATACAGTTGTTGTGGTCTAAACGCCTTTTGTTGAAGGGTTGCGATCACGTTTTATCTTGGTGTGTTTAGATACGAAGTATACTACTTAAATAGAAGCAAGGAACAGACTAAAACCTACAGCTAAAACGAACCCTGCACCTTGTTAAACTGAGGCTCATTAACGTTAGTGTATTCTATAATAGCAGCTGGAAGAAGGGTCGAAAAAATCAGTGTTCATTCACATCCATGATGTTAAATGTTTTTTCATATCTTATACGTTTCCGTTCACTCAACGTCCAGGCGATGTAGCATACGCTTGATGAACGTACACTCAAATACGAATATATTTGAAATTAGAAAATTGCGCAATGGAGGTGAACAGATAGAAAAACCTCACATTTATTAGTTGTTCAATTATTTGTTCAAACTTGGTTATCTAAATTTAACTACAGAAACTTAGAAACTAAAGCAGTACCTCTAGTCTTGTCCCACAGCACATCACTAGTTGATGGCCAATTATTTAAAGGTTGTGAGAGTGTCAATGAGAGACACTTAACTAAAGTTATTTTATATTCCACTGGTCGTAAATAAACAGTCATGGGATATATATATATGTGTGTGTGTGTGTGTAATAGATTAAAATAATCGCTGATTTGTTTACGTAATTTAAGGACTAGCCCAGTAGAGGGATTGTGGATTTCGTTAATTAAATGTTTGCATGGTGATCTCAGCAATAAGCTTCAAGGTTTATGACACTAGAATTCAGGGTTCGATTCTCGCTGCAAACACGGATCAAACGGCCAGTTGTGGAGCTTTGGGCTAAAACACCACCGGCATTAAAGTTTGATCAAAATGCACCACAGTAAAATTACTTTCTTATAAAAAGGAATGAAAAAAACATCTTTCATACATCGGAACTGTGTTCTCGCTGCAGTGGTCCACAGTTCATTGAAATTTCAAGATGACTACAACCATTCGCTTTTTTTTTATAGAAGAACGTTTCTTTGTGAAATGTGAATTTTGAATTAAAAAAAGGCTTCGGTGGATGTCTTTATTGTACCTTCTATAGGTTTATGATACAGAGATTAGATATTGTATTGTCTACAGGTTTATGCAGTACAATATCTAACCTATGTGTCATAAACCTGTAGACAATACAATATCCAACCTATGTGTCATAAACCTGTAGACTGTACAATATCTAACCTATGTGTCATAAACCTGTAGACAATACGCTATCTAACCTATGTTTCATAAACCTGTAAATAGTACAATATCTAGCCTCTGTATAATAAACCTGTAGACAGTACAATATCTAATCTATGCATCATAAACCTGTAGACACTACGATATCTAGCCTCTGTATCATAAACCTGTATATAGTACAATATCTAACCTCTGTATCATAAACCTGTAGACAGTACAATATATAACCTATGTGGAAACAATAATATTTTCGAGATATAGGTTATAGTCATTCTTTAACCAAAGGCCACCATTAATCCGTGCAAGCCTAATGAAATGACAAGTACGAAATCACATAGAATTCGTCTTTAAAAATCCATAAAGAAATATACTGAGTTATGGAAAAAGAACAAGAGACAGCTGTTTTTGCTTAATGGAGTCGTATTTTAAACTTTAAAGTTACAACAAGAGGAGTGAAAAGTCTTATTTTAGGTAAAATGACCAAAACATTTCGAATAAAGAAAAGTGTAGTAACTTATTAAAACACAATTTCTCCCAAAGAAGTTAACGTGGCAAATGGAAAATGTTGCTGAACTAACTAAGTGTTTTGGCATTCAGATGTTTGAGAACCATAATGTTTAACAAGTAACAGAGAAACATCTCTCAAGTGAGTATTTCTCAATATGAAAACGTGCACATAATCTGCTTTTTAACTTCTGTGTCATAAAACTGTAGACACTACGATATCTGACCTATATGTCATAAACCTGTAGACAGTACAATATCTAACCTATGTGTCATAAACCTGTAGAGATATTTTCACAATAACAAGACTTTATAAAACATATAGCTATTTTCACAATAACAAGACTTTATAAAACATATAGCTATTTTCACAATAACAAGACTTTATAAAACATATAGCTATTTTCACAATAACATTTCTGCAAAGGTCTTGCTTTTTGTAAGTAAAATTTGGTCTTTGAAATGGTTGTCATTGAATACATAATTCTTTTCACAATAACAAGACTTTTAGCTATATGTTTTATAAAGTCTTGTTATTGTGAAAATAACTATATATTTTATAAAATCAGAAAAGTTGTTTCCTTCTGTACAACCTTCTCTAATAACTAAAATAAGTTCGTTACTTTCGAAAACCTATGTTTAACTTTAAGAGGATATTAGTTGGTAATTCTAACATAAGACGTGTTCTCTTGAATATGGAAGTAATGTTTTGTATGTTTATATATATATATCTTACACTTAAGACAAATGCTACCCATTTTCTATGTTAAGTTAAATTGCGTTAGTTTTTAAAATAAGTAGTATTAAAGCTTTCTGCTCTAAAATACTGAATAATCCGAAAAAATAACATTTTGAATTATGATTATCCATTACGTTCAGAGAATAATATTTTATAATGGTATTTATCGACTTTCGTTTTGTGATGAAAACCTTAAAATCTAACACTAACAATAATGATTGCAAAGTTTGATGGTATAGTAGATGGAAAGAATTTGCTTTGTAGATTCCAGTTTATCGTTTCATTTAATATTCCTATCCTTTCCACCTCGAAAAGAGTTCTTTGTTTTATGACGTCACAACCATTTTAACTACCGGTAGGTGTTCGAATAATAGAATAAATTATGGAAAAAAAAGTCTTTTATTTCTCCTCTAAAACGCATCAACTTGATTATGTAAGCGATTTGACTAGTTTGAAAAAATGTTTTAAGACCTTTCAGATATAGTTTCCAGAGCCATCTTTTTCACATTTAAAGTTTAACATGTTTATTGACCTATACATTTTCTCTTTAACATATTCACGTGAAACCACGTGTACGTATTACGTGTTAAAGTATTTTATTTTATAAATTTTTTACCTACCTATACTTTTCGAAAAGTTTTAAACATCATTCAAATATTGACGGAAACCCAACGCGTGACCTATTATAACATGAAAGGATGTTAAAAAAAAATGCGTTTGTAAGAAGAAGGCTATTTCTTGGTATCGTTAGCTGAAAAAAAAATACGAAGATAAATCACTATTTGTAGCAATTTTTTGGTACTATTTGGACTTACAAATAGAAACTATCACTCGTCTGTTTGAAACGATGAAACGAATTCAGAGTTTTCCGAAAGATAAACTTTGATTAGAATTTTCCCAATCACTTTAAAACTAAGACGTGTTGTTAAAAAAAAAAAAACTTCCTGATACTGGAGTATTTTTTGGAGAGGTCCATTAATAAGTTACATTGTTTTGAACTGTTTAAGCAGAAGGACTTTCACGCTTAAGTGAATATGTCTCTAATAATAAGAGGCTGAAAAAGATCCGTCAATGAAGGTGCCCGCTCTAATTTCTACACGATTATCGTGAAACGAAGCCTAGTGGCTACTAAGTAAACCTTACGAGTAATTAGACTTATTCAATATTACATTTTCAAAATGAACCCAGCATCGTAATTATTTGCTAGTTGCTAGCCAAGCTCCTATTTGTTAGTATCATTATCAACCAGCTTGAAGTTTTACAACCTAGAAACTTAGGGTTTTATTTATAAGATGCTTAGCTTGCAAATGCATTTTGAATTTGCTGAATTTGGGCAATTGCATTGGTGGTTTGAATTTTTCCTTTTTCCTCTCAAGAAACCCAACTTATCAGTTATCCATTAAGACCCTGTAAATATTGAAAGGTAAGGGACAAGAATTGCTATAATTGTTTATTGCATGAATTCGTAGCTTGTTGGCTTCATGTCTCTGTGTCATGCAACCATATTATTTAGTAATTGCATGGGTTGACATGGTTGGATCACTTGCTAAGCACAAAGACATCAAGTGCATGACATGCTTCCTCTATTTGACGACTGTCAAGCACAAATCCTTGCTTTCCTTGTAGTACTTTTTTTTATTTTCATAATTGTTAAAAGCAACGAAACTTATCTTAAGAAGGAATAGTTTAACGTTTATGAAATACAAACAAGATGAAAAGAAGACAAAACTTTAAATCGTGATAACAGGCACGGTCGGGTATCGTTCAGCTTGTGAGTCTATCCTATTTAAAGCATATAAAAAATGTGCCTTAATTCTCTTGCGAATAATTTGTCGTTCTAATGCTTATTGAATGTTAGAAATATTGTAAGTTATTGATGTTGACACGCGTATTCGTAGTTCGTGTAGTTTATGTGTATTACAGTATCTTACTTAATGTTAGTGTGTTAAAAAGTTGCATCTTGAATAAGTAATTTTCGTTGTATCTACAGCTGCTCACGGACTACACGTTTTTTTTAAACGTTTATAAATGTATATTAGTTATATAATATGAAGTAACTGTCACAATATTTATTTTCTTTGCTCTGCCTCGTTTTATTCGGTTATCAAAGAAACTGAAAGAACCATACTAGGGATGGTATAATACAAGTTACTGCAATATAAAAGAATATACACGTTATGAGAAGAGTATGAAATTTAACCCTTTATCATCTCCATCCATATATTTACACCAATTACGGTAATGGAAAAAACACCCTTCCATGGATGATAAAGGGTTACTTATTGTAACAAAGCATAGAATGGTATGGAAGGGCGTATATGATAATACACATTATTAGACTGTTTGATATCAAACGCTACTTTAAAATTTATTGAACACGTCTGACCGGACAACCAATTTTGGATTTTACGCTTCAATCAACGATTAATATCAGTACTTAGACTATAATCTAGCGAGGCACAACTCAAACACCACTAATTGAAAACCTGGCGAGGTATGACTCAAACACCCCTAAATGCAAACCTGGCGAGGCATGACTCAAACACCACTAATTGAAAACCTGGCGAGGTATGACTCAAACACCCCTAAATGCAAACCTGGCGAGGCATGACTCAAACACCACTAACTGAAAACCTGGCGAGGCATGACTCAAACACCACTAATTAAAAACCTAGCATAGCATGACTCAAACACCACCAATTGAAAACCTAGCGAGGCATGACTCAAACACCACTGATTGAAAACCTAGCGAGGCATGACTCAAACACCACTGATTGAAAACCTAACGAGGTATGACTCAAACACCACTAATTGAAAACCTGGCGAGGCATGACTCAAACACCATTGATTGAAAACCTAGCGAGTTATGACTCAAACACCACTAATTGAAAACCTAGCGAGGAATGACTCAAACATCACACTTTTACCACCTCTTTTATTAAGCGTCTGTCTTATCGCTGATTTGCGATTTTTGGAATTGTTTCTGCAAGTCATTTGAGCGAAATAGTTAAATCTTTTCAAAATAAATTTCAAAGAGAGGAATTAGAAGCAGTGATTAACAGGAGAGAGACTAAAAACTTTGCTTTTCTAAACTTAATAAGAAATTTAGTTTTATGTTGATGGATTAAGCATTCATTTCAAAATAAAAAGCATATTTTTACAAAGTCTTGTGTGAAAGGCAGTTACACTCTTATAGTTTTAGAGCATTGTAAAAGTTAGTCTGTTTATTTTGTTGCACTTTTGAAATATTCTTCTCCATGTTACCTCAGTTAATTTTAATGAGCAGTACTGATTTTTATGTTTCCTCATGGTCCGCCAGAGGGCTCCACTTCCGAACGTATACAATATTATTACCTATGAACAATCCATGAGCAGATGTAGATAAATTTTTTTGATTGTATTTCAGCTCTACTGCTAGTGTTAGTATGTGTTGTATGTGTGATTTCATGTCTTGTTGTCCAGTGGGTCAGGTCCAGTTTGCCGGCCGCCATACTGACCCTCAGCGTCGACGAGCTCTCACGATCGACATTGGCCAAGGTAAGTAATCCTTTTTTTTTATTCTTAAAGGTGGATTGATTTCATAAGTTTTTATTTATGTCTTTCTATTTGTTAAAGTTCCATTTACATACTGACCCTGTCGTGATATCTATTTTTAAGCTTATAATTTAACTATTGTAGAATAAGGTGGGTAGTGAATTCTCGTTCACAAAAAAAAGTAATAATTTTCATAATTTGACGAATAATTTCTGAGAATTATTTTTAATGTTAGTTTGAATTAAACAGAATTATATATACATTTGATAAATACAATGATCGCTGACCACAAAAGTGATTTTATCTTATACCTGTTAACATTTAAATTTCAAGTTTTAATTAACGTTTGAACCATTTTTTCATGCGTTTTATTTACACATTTCTCTCAACATGGACAGGTGGTTAGGGTGCTCGGCTCGCAATCTGAGAGTCACGGGTTCGAATCCCCGTCCCACCAAACATGGTTGCCCCTTTCAGCCGTTGGGGCGTTATAATGTGACGGTCAATCCCACTATTAGTTGGTAAAAGAGTAGCCCAAGAATTGGCGGTGGGT